GGTTGGTCTTGAACTCTTGAACCTTCCGCTTTCTTCTTCTGTGCTATAATTACAGCTGTGTATCACCACGCCAGGGCTCTTAGTTTCATTTTCAGTCTTGGTTTGATAAAACATCTTAACAAAAGAAACTTGAGGGAGAAAGTGTTTATTCTAGCTCCCAGTTCAAGGTACATTCATCACTGTAAGGAAGACATGGAGGTAGGGGTGTGAGGCAAGTCATCATATAATGGTCACAGCCTAGGGACAGAGAGCCATAAACGAACGCAGCTCAGTTTTCTCTCCTCGTTACAGAGTTCAGGAGCCCAGCCGGGGAATGATGCCCCAGATGGTTGATGCTTCTTCCCACCTAAATCAATGTAATTTAAGCTAATTCCCCACTGGAGACCAGAGGCCCTTTTCTCAGGTGATTCTGTCAGGATAGAAATCAACACTGTCACATTCCACTTATTCTGGACAGGGGAGCCCAACCCAGTGCCTCCTGCATGTTAGACCAGCACTATACCAGCCGGGCCACAGTCTGCTCTGCTCTCCCTGTCTCTAATTAGCATTTTTGTCTGGGCTAATGGTATATATCACCACATGTCCATATTGTCTATTTGCATATCTTTTTTGGTGAGTGTGCAAATGTTTTTTTTTACTTTTTAAAAATTGCTTCCTGAGTGTTACATAATATACATCTTGAATCCAAGTATTCTAAACATTTAGATGTTCTATGGAGGGCTGATCTTGTTGCACAGAACGAGAGGGTAGACATGAACAGAATGAATGACAGGAATGGAGGGGAGCCGAAAGGTCTGAGGGACATGGCCATTTCTAGGTCTGGGCTAGAAGGCTGTGGAGTCTGTCTATCATGGTGACAAGACCAACCCGACAGCCCTAGGTCCTGACTCTGCTGCAAATTCTGAAGAAGGATGAGGGAGGAAGGAGGTGGAAGGGAGGAGGAGGGAGGAGGAAGGGGGAGAGGGGGAGGGAGGGGAAGGAGGGAGGAGGGAGGAGGGAGGGGGAGGAGGGAGGAGGGAAGAGAGAGGAGGGAGGAGAGAGAGGAGGTAAGGTCTGCTGACAGCATCTCCATCCTGCTGCATTTGGCAGGGAAGAGCTGTTACCTCCACCTGTCTTCATATGAAGTCTGCAGCCCAGAATGCAGGGACCAGCTCAGAGGAAGAATACAGCAGAGATAGGAAGCTGTCCTCACTGAAACCTGAGTTTATTTTCCCAGGGTGGAAACCCCTGGTTCCTGCAGGACACAATTTGTTTCCCATGAGTCCAGCCTCTGGGGTTCCTCAGAAAGCTCTGTGTGAGCATAGGCATCTGTGACAACACATCTTCCTCAGTGTCCCTGTTCCCACATCCAGCCCTGAGTCTTCTGACTCCACCTCAGGTCAGAGGGACCGAGTCTCTGACTCCCTGAGCAGAGTTTCCTGTCATGGCTGTGGCCTAGTGACCAGGGGTGTGGCGAGAGTGCAGAGTGCAGGTCCTTTCTCAGTTCCAACTCTCAGGTCAGGGTGGGAGGGTCCCGTTGACACCCTCCAGACCAGGTGTTGGGGAACTGAGTCTGGGGAGAGTTGTTTAGTCCTCCTCGAGTATGTGACATCATGTGCCATGATGTGGTTATTTCAGGCCTGCCTGTCCCACAGCCAAAGCTCAAGACTGCACAGCAGGCCCGGGAGGGATGGCCCAACAGTTCAGAGCAAGAAGCTGCTGTTGTAGACAACCCGAGTATGGGTGGTTTGCGACCACCTGCAGCTCCAGCTCCAGGGTATGTATCGCCCTCTTCTGGCTTCCATGAGCACTGCCCTCACGCACACATGTGGCTCTCTTTATTAAAAATAAAATACATCTTTTAAAAAAGAACGCACACTAAGCATTTGACCTAGTGATGTACAAGAGCACAATGGGAGTCTGGGCCTGCCTCCCTCAGGGGCTGTCACCTCATCCCAGCATAGATAGGCCAGAGTCAAATAGTCATGTGTCCCCACAGGCCATGCTGCTTGGTCCATTAGGAGCCTAATGTCACCCAGCTTGGGGGGTGTTCTTCATGAAACAGATCCTCTGAGTCCCAAACCCTGGAGCCAGCACAGGTTCCTGTAGGAGGAGATGTTGCCTCTGGTCTGAGGGACTTGGTCTCCCGTTCACTTTGTTACCTAGTTCCCTGCAGAACTCTGGACAAGCTGGATCCCAGGTCTGCTGTTCAGGAAGACATTGCACCTGCATATCCCTGCATTGTCCCACCAACCAATGACATGTGTGGCCTTTGTCCATATGGAAGGGCAGAGGGAGGTGACAGTCTGGTCTTGGTGACCCTTTCCCAACTCCTGGTGTCTCCTGTATCCCAGGGTCATGGGCTAGATAAGTTTGCTGTGGTCCACAGTGTCAATGCCCTCTAAGGGCCCTGGTCTTCCTGTCTCTGTGGTTCTATACAAGAGTGGGGCTGGAGTCGGCCCCTCCTCTAGGCTGCTCACTTCCCTCAGGCTGCCCTTTGTCCACAAACAGTAGGACTCAAGTGTATCTGTAACTCATCACTGGACTTAGACACACAGAGAGGGAAGCCCAGTGTTGTCCCTGCCCTGTGCCCTTATCCCAGCCAGGCTGTGGAGCTCATATTTAGAGCTTCAGGTTTTCAGGGCCTGACTTTTGTCCTCTGAGCCTGTTGAATTCTCAGAAAGCTGTCCTCCCTGACATGGACAATGGCAGCCCATAAAGAGCTGATGGGTCACAGAGGAGAGGGTAGGCGGGAAGGCTCCCTCTGCCCATGACTGGGTGTTGCAGGGTGTTTAGGATGGGCACTCAGAGCTCTCTGTCTATTTCAGCAGGCTGGCTGTGTAGAATCAATGCTGGTCCTCTTCAGAACCCTAAGGCCTTAGCTACTGTTCTATTTCTGTGAAGAGACAGCATGGCATAGGCAACTCATAAAATAAAGCACTTAATTTGGGGCTTGATTACAGTGTTAGAGGTGAGTCCATGATTATCATGGCACAAAGAAGACCATGACGCTGGAGGAGCCGC